GCAGACAGCTGATTTCCTGCACTTTGATTGCCTTCCTCTGCAGCAGCCTCCAGCTGGATCTGCTGCCAGCTGGGGCAAGGGTTGCCAATTGAGCCTCCGAGCTGCTGCAAACCCTTTCTGGCCCCTGCTCTTGGGCAGAGGAGAACAGCTTAGGAGAGGGACAACAAAACGCTCCTCCCGACACTGTTTTGACTTTGCTCCTCCAGCCTGGGACATTATCACCGGAGCAGTTGTCCCTGCAGTCACCATGCCTCCCAGCACACTGTGCTTTATCTGTGCATCCTCTGCATGAGGAGGAATTGTCCTGGAAGCTTTGCAGGCACCTGCCTGGAATTACACAGGCAGCTCAGAGGCTGCAGGATTGTGTTGATAAGCAGGGCCAGAGCAGTAGGAGCAGCTGTGGGGGTCTTTAAGGCTTGTTAACCTTAAAGATCCTGTGTTGTCTGAAAGCTCAGTTGGTGCACTGTCAATGTCCTTGGGAAAATCAGGCTTCAAGAGCTCCTATCCCACTGTTAGGCTGCAAGTATAGAAAACAGCACAGGAAACTGCATAATGGCTATCCAGAGCCACTGGATATGGCAGAGCTCTCCCTTCACATATTAGCCTGTATTTTTCAGTAGTAATTCTGTTTTGCCTCTGGAAGTGGTTTGCTTTGAAGCAAATTGCAAAGAAATGTTTTGTGCCCTCTGGATTATTTGCAGTGCAAATGTTAAGCAAAATTATACCCAGCCGCTCCCACAGCAAGTCCTGCTGTTAACCAGGGCATGGATAGACAGCCTCATCTCCTGCTACAGGACTTGGCTAGCTGCATCCAAGTGCTTGTAGCTGAGCTGGGGCTGAGACTAGCCAGAGATGTGGTTGCTCCCAGAGGAAGGTCCAGTGTCTACATATCCAACCTCAAAGCGTTTCCTCAAGTGTGAGTTCAGTCCTAGACATTCAAAAATACATATATATTTGAGTTTTTTTTCCATTGTCCTCCTGGCACAGGCTCTTTTAACAGTCACATTCCCAAACTTTTCCTTTTCAGGTAGGTAAGCTGTTAAGGTTCTTTTAGCTTTTCTTAATTGAAAGCAGAAAGTCTTACACAAGAACATGACTCATGCTGCTGAGGATTTAAAAGAAAAAAAGGGTACACTGCAACACATGAGATACACGTGCCCAAAGCCACCAATAGTAAATATTGTCCACACAGATCCAGGTGCTTCACCTGACTTTACACATCTGCTGCAGTGACTAGTGTGTCCTTCTTGGCCATCCGTTTGTTTGGTCAGGCAGGGCTGATGCTGGAGCTCCCAAACATGCATCTCATAACCCATGAGCACTTGAACAGAGGGGTCACGGGAGCGCTCTGTTCATGTCTGACCAGAAAGACCACAATCAAGTGGGCAGAAAACCCTCCATGAGCCCAGCAATGCTCAGAGCTACATGTGCCACAGGAGAGGATGGCAGCACTGCTGATGGCCGTGGTCCTGCAAATGCAGAGAATTCAGGTTTGACCTCAGCAGACACCCTTGATGAAAGCCCGTCAGGCTCCCAGTACTTCCTGCCAGCAGATCCAGGGTAAAACTCCTCCCCGTGACACCTACAGCAAACAATATAACCCTAAATATAGGCATATAACCCACAAGCCAGACAAGAGACTTCAATACCACCACCAGGAATAACAACAAACTGCACTACATAACTTGTTTCTAGTGGTGGGTGAGCACTGGTGCTTCAGAAGAAGGCAAAATGCCCCCTCACTCTCATCCCTGGATGCCAAGTTACACATCAAGGACAGAATACCCAGCTTCCTACAGGGTATGTTTTTGATCGCAGATCTCCATTCTAACAGCCAGAGCTGAAACCAAGGCTTCCTCACCACACAAACATCTCCAGCAGTTAAAATAAAGGACATTCAGAAAATGCAGGGAGGGAGGAGGGAAGCCACAGAGGGAGCAACCCAGGCCTAAGCTTCAGAATGGCAGTGCTCTGCCTCCCTCAGAAAGTGTGTGCTTCCTCTCTGGGGTATTCTAATTGTTAATGTATATACAATTCTTGGGTCTAAGACGGTCCAGAGGAGAAGGTAACCCCAAAGTCTGTACCCAGTGCAAGAGCAGAGGCCGTCTGTCTTAATACAGTGCTTCTGTTCTGAAGCTCCTTGATCAGAGAACAAGCCACACTCAAAACGTCATTTTCTAACGGGTGAGGAACGTGGCTGTGGGTCACTGCTGCCATGATCCTCAAAAGAGTCAGGTTATTTGTTAACTAGCCATAGCAAAGAGGCTGAGTATTTTCTGTGGCTAATGCAAACTAATTTTTCCTACATCAAATTTTCTGCTGTCTCTAAAACGTTCATTGGTATTTTCCATGTGGTGAGCTGAGACTTAAGATTTCTAACACATGCCATGTCCAATTATCTCATTGTATACGGAGACCAGCAGTGATCGGGAGAAAGAAAAATAAAGATTGGTATAAATGCATTTATGAGATTTAAAGTAAAAATGTAAGGCAGATAGTTCCAGGAATAAAGCAGAATTTTAGACTACCACAGCTATGCTCTTCAACAGCCTATATTCAGCTGCCCCTGCGGTCTACCAGAAAGAATATATACGATTTTTGCTCATTATATCCCTGTGGTAGGACAGCAGACCCTCAATGCAAGGATTGCTATCTGGATCTTATTGTACGAACTAGAACAATTTCCTCCTTCCAGAGCCAAATTCCGGGTCCAAAAGGACTGATGCAGTTGGTACTTGGCTGATCAGCAGTGTGAAAACGCTGCTGGGCCAGGGGAAACGTCCACTAAAACCTCCCGCTGTTCTCACAGCGTTAGAAGGCTTCACCTCTTCCACACAAAACAGCGGCATTGCTTCCTGTGCAGCAGGAAAACCCCTTCCCGCCAGCCCGGAGAGGGGCAAGACGCCGCCATGTGCT